TGGCGTGGGTGATCATGCCTCTCCACAATCTGCAATCTCCTGCAGCATGTATCATTTCGTGTGCCGACACACTTCCATGCCATGCAACAAGACTGTCAAGAATCTTCTCTCGTTGTCTTCCTCTATCCCTCCTTCCACAGATCTTACCAGTGGTCACAACATGTTCTATTTTCCCTCTTCACATAACATGGCCGAAAAATGATGACTGTCTCCATCTGATGTCTGTGATAAGTTGTCTTCGGGCTCCCACCTCTTACAAAACCTCTTGATCGCTCTTTTTGGCTGTCAAAGTTATTTTAAGCATTCTTCTCCACATCTCTGAGGCCTCTAGAAATTGTTTGGCCTGCCTACCCATTGTCCTGGACTCACAGCCATATGTCAAACCTGGATGTAAGCAAGAATTCTTTTCTAACCCTCAATGACAAAAATATATTGCATAAAATGTTCTTTATTTTATAAAATGCAGTCTTTGCCTGTCCTATTCTGTTTCTTATCTCAGTAATTCTTCTATCTGATGTTATCCATGTGCCCAGATACTTAAATTTCTGTACTTGTCTTAAAATAACATCACTGACTTTTATTACACATTTAGGAATAATTCATTTCTTTGATACCGCCATTATTTCTGTCTTTCCATTATCCAAACTGAGGCCCATTCTTCCACTTTCTACCACTACAATGTCTATCATTTCCTTTAGTTTTTATTCTGACTTGTTGCTATCAAGACCGTGTCATCAGCATAACTGTATATTGAAAACAAATCAGGTGACATACACATCGTTGTTGTACGCCCCTCTTTATGCTCTGAAATATACTTAAACAGTTTTTAATTCTTATAGCTGCTGTTTGCTGCCAGTACATATTCTTTATTATTCGTAGATCTTTTCCATCAATGTTTAATTTTTCTTACACTTTGATTACTTCTTCATGTTTCACACAGTCAAATGTTTTTGCATAGTCTATGAAACATAAGTACAAATCAATCTTTACTTCTACAGCTCTTTCTGACAATGTCCTTAGGATGTATATGGCATTGTTTGTACCTTTTCCTTCTACAAATCCACAATGTTCATCGCTGATTTATGATTTAATTTTATTTCCTATTTTTCTTATAATTATTCTCAGTAAAATCTTATTCATGTGACTCATAAGACTTATTGTGCGATGGTCTTTACATTTTAAAGTGCCTGGTTTCTTTGGCAGAGCTATAAATATGGATTTTAAAAGATCATTTGAAATATACATACTATTATAAATATCGTTTAAAAGTTTAGTTATTATTTCAATTCTAAAATCTCTCAGTGCTTCGATTTTTTTCCAGTGAGATGTTGTCTGGCCAGGGTGCTTGTCCTTTCTTCATATGATGCATTTACTGCAGTCATTTTTAGTGGACCATCATTGTTGGTCTGCAGTTCTACATTTGGTCTATTATTGTCATAAAATTTCCCTATATACTCTGTCCATCTGTTAATTATATCACTATGCCCCATCAAGAAGTCGCCATTTTTTTATTTTAAACATCCTGTGCTGTTACATGTCATCTTTCCGGTTAATATATTTATCTGTTGGTACATGGAATGTGAGTTTTTCCTGTGATTTTCCCAAACATCTGTACACATTTGATTTAGACAGGTTTCTTTAGCCATTGCATTTGTTTACTATTTCTTATTGTATTCTAGAGTATTCTTCTTTATCATTCTTTTTCTTCCTTCTTTCATCGATAAACATCCATTTATTTTTCGCAACTCAATGGCTTGGTGGGATTTTCTCTTTTGACGTCTGCTGAATTGACTCACGCAACATATCCCACTGTTCATCAATAGTCTGTATAATTTTCATTGCATTATACCGGTTTTGTACAGTGATATTGTACTGTTCCTTAATTTCTTTATCCGTTCTAAGTATTCCTAAATTCAAAATGATGTTCTGTGAGAGCAACAAGAAGACAATAAGCTAACCTGTGTGCGCTTAATGAGACACCTGTGGTTGAATTATTATTTATTTTATTTTTTAAATTTTGGCGCAGCTTATTTGAATTGCAAACACTGCTGACACAACTCAGCCTTCAGCGAAGAGTCGTAATGCAGTGGATACCGTCACATTGTGGAGTGCCTGGAAATGAGAAAGCTGCTCAACTTGCAGGGGAAGGTGCGACAAAAGTGCAGCCGAATGTACCAGTTACACACCACCAAAAGAAAAGAATCATTAAATCGATCAGGAAACTACCAGCCCCAGCACAAGACGACTATTTTATTATGGACAAACCAGAACAAGTCATTATCCTCCGCCTCAGAACAGGGCACTACCGATTACGTAACCACATGTACACAAAATTCAAGATAGTTGTATCAGCCATGTGCACCTGTGGAAATGTGCCCCAGACCGCAGAGCATGTACTCCAGGACTGCACCGATTTTGACCCACTAAGGCAAACCTTTTGGCCAGAAAGAACAATAGTGGAACGTAAACTCTATGGACCACTGAATGAACTAACAACGACAGTGAAATTTATACAAGAGACAAAACTGCTGATATAGACATCTTATTTCAGGCAAACTAAATAAGAAGAAGAAGAATGATAATTGCAGGCGAATGTCTGGTTCTATATTTAATCAGCTTCTGTTTCTTTTTTTCGATAGATGTACAAGTAAAAATTTCCGCTTCAGATAGATATTTAGTTGCTAAAGACAGCACTGCTTATTTTGCTAATTCATACAGTATTTTGAAATAATTTTGTAAATGCAGCCAGAACTCAGGGATACTGCTTTTGAAACGCGATTTGTAGTTCGCTGTGAAATTTCAAATCTTTAAGGACCATGTATTCTGCATTTTAACCTGGGTATGTTTTTTCTCGTTCGCACTGAACACATTCAGCACCCGATTAAAGTCATCAAGCACATTTATTGAGCTGACGAGAATAATAATATGCAGCTGCTAGCTCACTCGAGTTATCTGTCTGTCTCTTGCTGCATTGATTGTGGAGCTAGTGGCAGCGGAATGACCAAGTCGAGGAGGCCTAAGTTTACTTGGCACATTTTCGTTGAGACTATAACTTCTAGCTGTCTTATTTTTGTGGAGGGAAAAAAAGGATCTGCGGAGCACTGATGGGACAGTCTGATTTAAATAATGGGGTATGGAGCGTCGACTGTGTACAGCAGTGGTCTCCAACCCTTTTTTTTAGGTTATGCAACCCCCCCCCCCCCCCCCCCCCCCGAATTCCCTATCCGATTATATGATTATATCCCCTCTTGAGTATATGGTAAGACCCCCATACCCCTTGTATTTATTACAAGGCCCTCATGCCCCCCCCCCCCCCCAATTGAGTATATTGCAACACCCGCACGCCCCTCCCCCTTTCCTCAACATAACAAAATGTGATTAAAAAGAGGAGGACAATAGATTCCCCAACAAGAAAATCAAGATAATGGTGTACAGCCATTTTGCGGACATAAACCAAGGCTTATCTCTATAGCCCCAAGTATATGTTATTATAACTTGTCATATCCTATACAGGTCTTACTGGAGCAAATAAATGTTTTAATATGCATCAGTTAAAATGCAAATATAATGTGACACAAGGGTGTACACTAATAATAGTGGCAGTGTGAATTTGTGGTGTAACAATTGAATAAAGCATAATAAGTTGTGAATAGTAAATCAATGACAAATTCATAGTGCGTTCTTTGGTAGTAAATGCGATATGGTATACAACTAGGGGCAGTGGTTTTTTCTTTTTCTTTTGTTGTTAAACATCTTTAAAAAAAAAAACCTGCAGCTGACAAAACTGGTTCTTGATGGAATGAAAATTCTTTTACTTGACATTTTAATTATAGCTAATTTTTTTTTTTTAAATCTGTAGGCACAGTTTTTCAGTGTATTTCAGTTGGAATAAACATTCTCACATTTCTTTATACAATTGTTTTTTCAGTTACAATTTATGACCAATTCCTGATATTTTTGACATTATTCATGTACTGACTTTATAGAGACAAAAAACAAGCACACGTAGAAGCTGCAGCGGGATGGCAGTTTCTAGAACTGACAATTCGAGCATACAAGATTCAACTGAAAGATCCACATTTAACTTTTCGCAAGTATGTTTTTATACATATTATTTAGTAAAAGCGTTAACTCCTGGTTTAAAATGTTTAACTTTAATGTCAAATCAGTACTACCTTATAAGGCTTAAGCATGGACAACAACTAAAACAGTTACTCAAAAACGATAAACAATCCTGAGCAGAATAGAGAGAATTAAATGGCAAGACAGAATCACTAATGTTGGGCTTTGGGACAGAACTAAACAAATTCCGGAATCAAGAAGCGAAGAAAAGAGAAGATAAGAGGCGTTGAATGAGCACACGTCAAGAAACATAGGAGCAACATACTATATTCGCTTTAAACTGGAACCCAAAATGGGCATAGAAATAAAAGCAGACCAAAACACTTGTAGATGGAAACTAGAGAGAGAGAGAGAGAGAGAGAGAGAGAGAGAGAGAGAGAGAGAGAGAGAGAGAGAGAGAGAGAGAGAGAGAGAGGGGGGGGGGTTAGTTGACAGAAGAAGAAGAAAAATAAACCCCTGGTAGATCTTCTTTTTCCTATTAACGGTTGTAAACTCCGGCGGAAATTCCTGTTTATTCGTCCATTTCAGGACTGTAGTCTTGTTCCAGAACCTGAATGTTGCGTGTACATTGGTTTAACAGATCTGGATTATTTGCATTCAAACTGCTGGTTCCCTGCCTCTCTGGCATATGCACTCCGACTTCGAATGAAGCTGTCAGATAGTCGACTTTTACGACATGCTTTTGAGAAGGCAGTGGGTCTATTCTAGATTTTCCCACAGTGGGATCGTGGAACCCACACGTGGAGACCCCTGGTAGGTAATACAATGGTACCACGGGTCACGAACTTAATTTGTTTTTTGACTCCGCTGGCGAACTGAAACTTGTTGCCTCGCTGAAATTAATGCCAATCCAGTTAATCATTTTGCCTGCCCCAGAATCATACTGGGTTGTCATATATTCAACAGGATATCCCACTTAACTTTTACGTGGCTTAGAGGTTACGAATGCAGTTCAGTATGCTAACATGCAAAGTAGCTGCAGACAATTTAGTAGCAGACTAACCCGTGTGGGTTCCTGGGCCCTAATATAGGGAAAACAAGAATAGACCCACTGCTTACCCAAAAGCATGTCGTAAGAGTGGACTAATTGGGAGCTTCCTTCGAGGTCGGAGTGCATCTGCCTGAGAGGCAAGGAACCAACAGTCTGCACACAAATGTGTCAGATCTGTCAAACGTATGCACCGGCAACACTCAGGTTCTGGAACAGGACTGCAGTCCAGAAGTGGACGAACAACCAGAAATTTTCACCAAAGTTTATAGCTGGTGAAAGCAAAGAAAGAAGATGAAGTAGCAGACTTCCTTGATTTCGACATTAGTACATTTTCGTACCATTAAGATAGCATTGTCAAGCAAGCCAATAAACTTAAAATTGCCCACCAAGACCAGGTTAATGAATACCCAATCTCATACTCAAAATCCCTTTTCACGCCTTTAGGCGCATCGGGTATATGGAAAGAGCACCCATACTTTTACAGATTAATCGGCACTAGGAGGGTAATATGGTCAGCATTACGCCGGCCGTCTTTACTTCTCCAGAACTTACATTCTGGTACCCATTTTAGGTTGGGTCGACCTGCGACGCCCCATACCATGATAAAAATCCACGCAGCCGGCAGTGGGTTTCAATCCCCGTACGTTGGAATTACGAGTCGGACTCGCAACGCCTAAGGCACGGACGCCGCTAATTAGCGAATAACTGAGAAATAAAGACGACCGACCTGATATTGACCCATCAAGTGTTAATTTATCTTTAAAATATGGGTTAGAACCATCTGCGGCTAAGTGGATGGGAATCGGATCTTCACCTTTAAAAAAATCGTATCAACCATTGATATATGTGAATAAAAGAACATATTTAAACTTACAACATATATCACAATTGTATTTTAACGATTAAGTTTTATGTCTGGCAGGAGTAACATATGGTGGAAGAGTATTCTAACAGAAAGGCGGAAACTATGTCTGACACCTATTCCTGAGAATGTTTATGAAGATTTTAGCAATAAATATCCGTGTTCGCCGAATAAAAGTGAAATTGAACAAGTACCTGCAGACCAAACATAAACGTGTTTAAACTCTGTCAAGCATGTGTTACTGCAACTTACTCTTTCCTTAGAAAATGTTGGATGATTGCAAAGAATAGAAGGAATTAAATGGTATGAAAGGATGATTAATATATTACTTTAGGGGAACAACAAAACTAAACCCATTTTGGTGAATCGAGAGGCAGAGAAAAAAAAAAGCTGGCGTTGGATACGACCTGACAATGATGTAACTAGAATGTCCTTGTACTGGAATCCAGATGATCAAAGGAATAATGGCAACATGGCAACTTGCAGAAGAGAATCAAAGAGAAGTAGGGTTGGTGGGGGGGGGGAGGGTTGGAGAAATAGGGAGAACATGCAGTTAACCACAAAGATTAGCAAGATATAGAATGACGTAGTGTTAGTTTGCTGAAAGCCCTTGCTGCATTTGGAGGATTCTTCTTCTTCGTGCTCACCGGCGAAAAGTTCTGGTTGTTCGTCCACTTCTGGACTCTAGCCCTGTTCCAGAAACTGTGTTGCGTGCACATACATTTCACAGATCTATCTCATTCACATGCAAACTACTGGATTCTTGCCTCTCAGGCAGATGCACTCCGACTTTGAAGGAAGCTTCCAATTAGTCGACTCTTACGACATGCTTTGGGCAGGCAGTGGGTATGTTCTTGTTTTTCCCACAATGGGGCCCCGGAACCCACACGGGGATTGTGGGGGAAAAAGAAAAGACGAAGAAGAAATTATAAAAACTTTTAACCTTTTGGGTCTGAAAGTATAAAAATAATTAAATTATGAGATAGCAATATCTGGAGTCGTGTTTTAGCGTAGCGGTCATAAATGGTAAAATGTAAGTAAGTAAATAAAGATCTCTTTCCACGCCTTTCGGCGTATCGGAAGAGCGCCAATATTTTTACAGACCATCAGCACTCGGTGGGTAATGTGGTCAGCATTACGCCGGCTGTCTTTACTTTCCCAGGACAGCCTATCCTGGTACCCATTTTAGGCTGGGTCGACCTGCGACGTCCCATCCACGCAGCCAGCAGTGGGTTTCGATCGCGATACGCTAGATTACGAGTCGGACTCGCTACGCCTAAGCCACGGACGCCGCAGTCATAAATGGACAAGGTGTGAAGTACCCTATGCGTGTAGTTACCAACAAATGCATCAAGTTGTTTGATGCTTAATGGTTAACAGGCTTTACACGAGCATTCATAAGACTTGGCACATCATGAGAACTCTGTTGACCACTGAAGTCAGGTACGGAACATGTGTGGGAATGTCCTTGGTGTAGTGATTTAATTATTTTGATTGTCTTTTTAGGGATGTAATTTCTTAATCAGTTAATTGTTTTATGATTTTTTGTGTAATTTCTTAAATTATTTTCACGACTTTTTTAAAATTATGTTCACAATCATTTAACTATACTGTTCACAAAAAGAAACGCAACATATGAGATGTTGCAACCGAAAGTTAACCTGGCTGCTCAGACAAGGAAAGATAGCCTGAAATGTTAATCTGATCATTACGTGTGGACTTGAACTTTACTTCAGTGGGCAAAACAAGCATCGTCAGTGGACTGTTGGGTAAGACTTCAGAAGGGTTTGATTTAGTGACGAATCATTCATTGTGCTCCAGGGTTACGGCAGACAGAGAAGGGTTTTCCGTACAGCCCATAGCACTAGCCAAGAACTGGATGAGGATGAGGCTTCTCCGCATGGTGGTAAAGGTTTACTGATGTAGAAAGCGATCTGATTCATTGGAAGAAATGACATAGTGCAAAACTAAGGGGCCCTAAATAACCAACGATATACATCGCAGAAATTCTTTGTTCTCACGCTCATCTACTTTTGTCTGCAAGAGGGTCGATTTTTCAGTGGGATAACGCGAGACCTCATGTGGCACAACTTACCACCCAGTTCCTCACTGACATCAAGACCCTTTTCTGGTCAGCTGACATGAGCCTCACAGAACACTTATGGGATGAATTCAGCAGACGTCCATCAACGAGAGTGGCTCCAGCCAATCTCCAACTGTTGTCTCTTGTACTCTGAGAAGTGTGGGAAACCACCACACAACAACAAATCCAACCGCTAATCACATCGATGCCAAAGAGAAGCCGCCCTCTAATAGAGGCCATACACCCTACTGAAACGGAGTTTCCATTCGTGAGGAATAAGAGTCTTAAACTAAATGTAATGATCACTATTGCATTGTCAAGTCATAAAGTTACTTTATGTCAAAACTGAAACATAAATTCCGTAAAATTAAAAATTAGTAAAAGTGTGAAGTTGGCTGTTCATTACAACTGCAATAGTGTTGGATTTTTTGTGTGTGGACAGTAATATTTAGTGATGCCACTTCTTGAATCGTTTAATCCTTTTGATCTACATTTTCAAAGATTCCAATTTTGAATTATCTAATTAATTTGATGACTTTTTTTTTTAAAGTATGTCAGTTTTGTATATCACTTAATAATTTTGCATGCATTTTTTAGTGATGTTGTCATTAACCACTTAATTACTTGTGTTGACCTCTTTTTTTAAAAATTGATGTCAGTTCTTAGATCAATAAAGATGACCTTTTCTGTGCCTGTTCACAATGAAAGCTGAGCATGATGAAAGAAGTTGGCAGACTATTGTATGTGCTTTTGCCATAAAAAACACACGCATAGAGCTTTCCTAACTCTTTATCCACTAAATGATATGAATAAACATAATCCACACAACACGAGTACAATTTTATATACATTTTGTAAATTAACAGCGACAACTTTTGATACACAAATTAGGGGATATATTATTTAGTAAAAAGAATAATCTCAAACTTTAGTTTACTCACAGATGAAAAATTAAGTCTGCAAAGCAATGCAAACTGACTAACATTTCAAGTGAAACTGCACTACTGCAGCTATGCTCCTAAATAAATAAATGAAATAAACTATATACTGTAAACAATCTCATACTATTGCTCTTGTAATAAAAGAAGTATTTACACACAGAAGACATTCATAGTTTAAAATATAGTTTTCCAAACTTGGACTGATATCACATCACATGCAACATTTCTATTACACAGACAATTGTTATTCCTCAGTAGCTTCTGACAGCAGAGAAGCAAGGCCTAGTGTTGCCGTTACAGTGTCCTGATTACTGATTTTACTGTTTTGGTACAAAGCAGTTATTTTTCTCAACCCCTCATGCGTTAACGCAGTCGATAAGAGCTCGCTTTCAAATCCAGCTGCTATTCGCTACAGCCCACGGTAGGTGTTCAAAACCGGGCGGCTCTCGGGGTTCACCCAGGCTCTAGGAAATGGGTACCAGAGTTGACACTTTGAGGTAAATGGAGGAACGTCGCTGTAGCTACAGAGTTACATGCGAACGGCGACACAGGCAGACAATTCTTATTAGCTGTCCGTACTGGTGGCCGAGCACTTATGGTTTATAACCGTGTGCAATGACGCTGTTTCACATCTCCCAACTTTACCTTTTATCCCAAAGAGTGAGCCTAAAAGCAACAAAAACTAATGTCTCAAAAAGTTCAATATAGACACTAGGGAACAGAAGTATTTAAACTAATAATTCAGGTACAATTGGTTAACGAAACAACCGTCTCTGACAGACAACAGCAAGAACATTGCAGTACCTTTTAAATAACCAAAAAACGCATTGTGAGTTGACTATTGAATGAGGTAGGAATTAATATCATAGCACACAGGGCATACCCATAGATGCTCTGTCTTCCGTAAGACGCCTTAAGGTGTAGATGCTGTTACCCTAGCAGACTCGTTATACACACGTCACCTATTACTCTCATACGTACTTTCTTGCCAGGTCCCCGCCTATTTCTTTTTTTTTTTTAAATGCCTTTAATGTCTTATAGCAGCATTCGTTTAAAAATGGTCTTCGGGATGGCTCCTTTTCTAGCACGAGTGTTTCTGTACTCATGTTTGTAGCCAAAACACCTGAACTATAACTGTTTAGAAGATTGAGTTGGGTGTCCGGGATCTGCCTTGTTGAACTGACATACAGGATTATTATTCTTTACTCATACCAGTGTGTGCACTGTCACGTACGTAGCACCATGCAAATAAAGTCTTACTGGACAGACAGCATAGTAGTGAAGGGAGTGGGCAGTAATCTCTCGGCCCCAAGGTTAAAATTTAAATCTTTGCAGAGGTAGATTTGTTTCTTCAAAACTGACCTCCGCTCCTAGGCAGACGCAGCCTAACATGATGCTGACCACATTACAGACAAAGCGATGATCGGCCTGTATAAATATTGGTGTAGCCCTATATGTCTGAGTGTAATCAACTATTGTTGGCGGAATCTATCGTCGCCTGGAGATCCCCTATATCCTTCCAAATAACTTACAGGGCTCGAATTAAACAAGCCTAGGGGAATTATAACGGTCCCTGAGTTCTGGAAAATAAAAGAAGGAAAATACAAAAAGTTAAATGAATAGGGTGAATCCCCGGAAATTTCCTGAAGAAATTCAGAAACAACCAAAGTCAATACTTTATAAATTTAACTCCAATAAATTGCAATGAACAATCTTTAGTCTACCTAAGAAGTAAATTTGATACGATGAAATCGATAAATAGAGTTTCTAAACAACAACTATTGATAGTCTGGTCTGGTCTGGTAGTCTTAGTTTCAGCTTCATAGCAAACGGGTCGCCCCATCTTTGCTCTGCTCCTGTGCCAGCGAAAAACACCCAGAATGTTTATCACAGTCCCTTGTGGAAAGATTGACAGACTGCTGTCTCAGCATATCTAGCATACACTCGCATTAAAGCATATGGTAGCCATCCGAAGTGCTAACACAAACAGTCCAACATTAGAAATGCAGTTCATCATTGATGATAGCAGAACTTGTCGCCAACAGATCAGCAGTTTCCCACGCGATCAATTGTAATCACACACGGGCACCGCCAACATTGACGACCGGCATCGCGCCATTTTCTGAATCTACAATTCACACCACGTTGGTCACAGTCGAAAAAACATTCCAAATGCAATCCGCAGCT